TTAGTCAATGCATTAGGTATCATGATCTAACAATAAACAATATTTTTACAGCGTTTATTAATCTACGTCCATTCATGTTTGTTCATAATGCACAAACTGAAGTTAATATATACAACTTGAAATGTAGAAATTATTATTATTGTTTGTAGATGTATTGTTCATGACACCTATCGCATTTTATTATTGTAAAGTGTAAATTATTTTTTTCTATAAATTTCATTGGTATTATATATATATACGTATATATATAAATATATATATATAAACATTTACGGTATCGGCCAAAATACACAGACAATAATTATATAAAAGAAAATTATGTAAATAATAATTTAATAGTTATATTAATTTAACTTAGTATTACTATATATATATATATATATACACACACACACACACATGTATGTGTGTGTATTTATATATGCATACAAATATACACAGTACATACATATATTAAACAAACTTTTTTATGCAAATAATCGCAAATAATCAATTTGACAGCACTAATTATTATTATTATATAATTAATTTATACTTTTATGTTATTAAACAAATTCAATAAACTGAATACATTCTATATAAAAATAAATTTAAATATTTAGAATATTTTCAAATTATGTATACATAACTCCTCTATACACACACACTCTCTATTATTTAATATATTAATTTAATTCATTATAATAAATTATATTATTATTATTAAAATTTATGTATTTAAATCTCCGTGGAAAGTGGGGGAGAAACTTGCAAAAAGGCAGAAAGAGCTGTGGGAAAAAGAACAGAGATGGATGACAAGGTTGACAGAGGAGTGAGATGATGCTATAGACTGAGCTGATTTCTGCACAGCAGCCGGATCTAAACTGAGAGCTTTAGAAACCTGCGAGACGATGAGGTTTCAGAATGGATGAGTCATGAATCGAACTCGGCTGTGTGGATCCACAAAGTGCTGAGCAACGACACTTCAAACTAGACGCCGAGAGAGAAAAGTGACATGAAGACTCCTCAAACTGTGCTTGAGTGGGACAAACGAGAGAGGGACGAATTTGGAGATGGCGGAGCGAAAGCTGTGATTGAAAAAATGGCTAATAAAAGCCATTTTATTAGCCATTCCGAGCACCGGAGTCAGAGCAGTCCAATTAAAACCGTGCGAGGAGCGGCAGAACAAACGCGGCTCGCCCTGCAGGGTAGCGGCCAATTAAACGTGTCTGATCAAACGGGCATGGGCTGCGGTGTGAGATCATCCTCTCTGGCGCTCTGCAGTGCTAACGAGTACCTGCGTCCAGAGTTTGAGGTCACAGCATGAACTCTGGAAGTGTAGGATGAGATTAGAGATGCGAAGAGGTGAAGAAAGCAAGGCAAACTGACAAAAAGATAAGAACACTGTCTACTTAGGCTTCTACCTTCTAATTAACTCTTTCCCCGCCAGCATTTTTGAAAAAAGTTGCCAGCCACCGCCAGCGATTTTGATGATTTTCACTAAATTTTGATGGCCTCCAGTATATTTTGCTGTATGAATATTTGAATATGCAATACGCCAAAATAAAGATCAGAGCCTCTACTTTTAAACAAAAAAAATTCAGTTTTATTCTAGCTTAAATCAGTCTTTTTTATCAACACGTGAATATAGGTAGGTTTCATAAAAAATGCATTATTTTGAGCAAAAAGGTGAGAAAATCAAATTTTTATCAAAAACTACATCTGGATAATATTCAGTACGATTATCAAAGCATAAATCCAGTAAATCGCTTCCATCAACACCTCCAAAGCTTGCACAGACATCAACATTTTACTCCGTAACATTATGCAGTTTTCATTTATATGCTGTCTATTGCTGATATTTTTCATATGCATCTGTTTACATAAGAGATCGCTCGTTTCTCCGTCCTGTTCACGTGTGTTTTTGTTCGGGAGGTTTTGTACTCGTTCAGAAGATGCGTAATAGCACCCCCGAGTGTATAACAGTGAAAACACGGAAAGCTGTAAAAACTCGTCTTTGCGCTTTCTTGTAAAAGACGAGATAACTCGTCAATGGCGGGGAAAGAGCTAAGCACTGATTTAGGACATTCTTCATAGGCAGCAACTCAAATGGAGCTTCTCACACAAAAGGCCCAACTTACCAATCGACTATAAATGAGTTTCGCATAAGCATGTTGCTAAGCTAACAGCACAACACCATAATAAGCACATAGCTACACACCACACGTAATTATTAGGTAAATTAGCACACTTTTAAGCCTAAACATAACTACCTTTATCAAATTAATCTATCCATCGAACAGAATACAAAAGTTGTTAATCATCGTGCTGCTAAGCTAAAAGCACAACACTCTAATAAGCATCAAAATACATAGCACACACAAAATATTAGCTTAAATAGTGCACTCACAGCCTTAAACCTAACTATTTGTAATCATTTTATCAATCCACAACAGATTATTAAGAGTTTTTGTCTAGAATGCTGTTAAGCTAACAGCACAACACTCTAATAAGCTTAAAATATCCAGTACACAAACATATTAGGTAAAATAGTGCACTTGTAAGCCTAAACCTAGCATTTGTATCAGTTTTATCAATCCACAACAGAGTACAAGAGTTTTTGGCTAACAGGTTGCTAAGCTAAACAGCACTAAGCAGCATAAAAATACATAACACACAAATACTAAGGAAAATAGTACACTTGTAACCCTAATCCAGACTGATTTATATTCAATATTACAATATTAATTGTATAACATATTACAAATGTTTCTTGCTAACATGTTGCTAACCTAACAGCACAACACTTAAATACGTTTAAAAATACATAGCACAAATAAAGAGAAGGTAAAAGAGTGCATGTATGACCCTAACCACTTTACAACTAACATATTACAACAGTTTTTTGCTAACATATTGCTATGCTAAACACACAACACTCTAATGAGATTAAAAATAGACCGTAGATGCAAATATTGGTTAAAATATAAAGCTATTGGTCTTTTTTTTCCACTAAGCCTAGCGCAGTGCATTCTGGGATTGCCTTATCCACATAATACAGTCTGCGCTGCTGCTAAAACTAGCCAACTTTCACAAAAGCCTTCACATCTGGAGTTAGCCTATGATGTTGTCTAAAAAACCCAGAAGTTTTGGGAAAAGAGCTAATGTTTCGGGAAGGTGGTCTGACACCTTTGGATTTCGGGTTGCACGATGGTTACCCGTGGCTGTGCGGTCCAGCGTTCCCGCTCTGATCTTTTGTTGGCCAGCACTCTGAACCTAGCGCTCTCACAGCATGACCAGGGGCAAGCTAAGGCCAGGCACACCTGAATGTGTAAATAAGCGTGTGAGCGTCTGACACCTCGCAGGAAGCGAGCAGATGGCAAAACCTGGGCTGCTGTTGGTGTTGGATTCTATGAAGTGTTAGCTCTGGGTCGCTGGTGGACAAGACTGCCAAGAAGGGCTGAAAGCCAGGGTCAGATTGAATATAAAAACAGCGAGGCTACAAGAGAAGAAAGCGGAGGAGGGGAAGCGAGGGTTCAACGCCCTTAGAGACACGGAGGAGAAGCAGCAGCGACGGCTGCAGGTGTCTTTGCCTCGGTTTTCTCCGAGACTCCTCCAAGGACTCTCAGAGGACTCTGCGACACGGTGGAAAAGCAGATGGCACATCTTAAGCATTCTGCTCACCGCTCTTGTGGGCAGCCAGAAGGCAGCTAAAAACAAACCTAAGCCCCTGGAAAGAGCACCGGCAGATTTACAGCAAAGCCTTCCCGTGTTTTCTCTGCCGCAGGCGAGCGGACACACCCTGAAGACGGCAAGGTGACTGGGTACTTAATGAAGTCACTAGTTTCAGAAGTTGGCCAGGGACAAAATGAAAGAAGAACCCGCTGGAGACCACAAATAGCAGCTGGAATAGTGGACAGTTTAATTGATTTTGATTAATGTCCGCGCAGACGTTCAGGAGCAGAGGCGCTCTCTTTTGGGAATGTGCGGACACATGTGTCGTCCTTTGTATGAGTGTGTATGGGGCTTGCTCTACTGATGAGGTTCAATGTAATTGCGAGCCCACAGCAGATGGGGATGAGAGAGTGAAGGGGGCAGCAGCCGTTTTTTTCCCCCTTGTGCTACCGCCTGTGTTCCTTCCTGAGCCGCATGGGTCTTGCCAAAGCCAGGATTTTCATGTAAAACTGGGCTGCCTACAAAAACCCTCGGCTTGGGTTCAGGCCCAGGAAGAAGCCTGCAAGCTGCCTGCTCCAGCGCTTGGCATTGACGAGGCAGATGGCTAGATCTCAGCGCACGGGGAACAACCGGATAACTCGATGGTGAGGACGACAGAGGTTCTGTGATTGGCTAGGACGGATTTAGAGTTTCTGCAGCAGTAAGATTGTGTCACATTCAAGTTAACCAGAGAACGCTGGTCAGTTTCCTCATTTGCCGAGATGGTCCTGTAGGGCAGTGTTTCTCAACTCCAGTCTTGGGGACCCACCTTCCAGAATGTTTTAGACGTCTCACTAATTAAAACATCTGATTCAACTCATCAGTTTCTTAGTGTGTTGAATAGAGACATATCTAAAACATTTTGGGAGGTGGGTCCCGAAAACTGGCGGGGGGGGGACACTTAAAGCAGGGAGATCCAACCCTGCTCCTGGAGGGTAAACTTCCAGAAGTGTTTAACGCCAGCCCTAATTAAACACACCTGAACTAAATAATCAAGGTCTTCAGGATCACTACACTCTCCGAAAAAAGGTACAAAAGTTGTTACTGGAATGGTACCCTTATAAAAGGTACCATTTAGGTATAAATATGTATCTTTAAGGTGCTAAGGCACCTTTTAGGGGTAAGTAAGGTAAAAGGGTGTACTTGTTGAAAGGGTACCATTGCAGTGACAGATTTTGTAGTGTAGAAACTTCCAGGTAGATGAACTTAACATGACAGTGGCCTTCTTGGGGCAGGATTGGAAACTCCGGACATTAATGGTTGGTTCACAAAAAAAAAAAAAAAAAAAGGTCAACCTTTAGTCTTACCTCTGATAATTGACAGCTTAGCCTGGACACTGATTTCGCCTTCGCTGTTCTCTGCCACACATTCGTAGATGTTCTCGTCTCGAGGCGCTCGGAGAGGCTGGATTCTTAGGACGGCTCCCGCACCTTCGTCAAACTCTACTGTCTGTGTGAGAGGACAAAGATTGAGTTGGTATATTACATTGAAATGTTTCATGGTAAAATGTCATTAAAAGTAGGCTGGCAGTTAAAAATCTGGCCTGAAGACACAAAGACTGTGAATTCAATCCCAGAATTGGAGAGTTACCGAGTGCCTTGAGAGCAAGGCACTTAATTCCTAGTTGCTGTAGGGGGAACGGTCTTAGAAAATGACATGCAACTTCCCTGCTGAAAAGTTTTGGATTGATCAACCAGCACCCCCAACTTTTGACCCTTAACCATAGCCCTTTTCATGTTTACATCAATTAATTCTGACAAAAAATTGTTGTGCTCATATTTTAAGGCGCCAAAATGTCCTTTAACGTCTAGATGTTGCTGTGAGCTCAAATTATGCGAGAGAGTTAATTAGGCTCCTGCGGTGCCTTCGCATTTGATGTCATTGTAGCGAAACAGTCGCTCGAATCAATAGGGAATGACAAAGAGGAACGAGGCTCTTTTTTTAAGCCAGTGGCAAAACTCTCTTCGCTTTTTTGGAGGGTGAGTTTTCAAGGCTACGATAATGAGAAGCAGTCCAGTGATACCACACTGTCCTAAGTGTGTGTAGATCAATATCAAAGCAAAGCCTTCGGGGAAATGAATTAATTCAAACCCCTCATGAAATGACTTTTCAATGCAACCAAGATGATAATTTGAGCATACTCTTGGGTTCATGCCGACGAGTGGATCGGAACCGCCAACTTATTTTTGTGTTCATCTTTGTTTTTTAAGGGAAGTTTTTCATCTTTGTTGAATAGTGACAGCGTGGTTAAATACAGAGCTAGTTTTAATTAAGATACACTAAACATTGATCAACACTACAGCTGCCAGCTGTGTTATGACAAAAGAACACAGCAAACAAGAAAGGAATATAAGACACAGGCTAAAACCCACAGAAGCTAAGACATGTATGCTATGTAAACACTTCAGATTGACCCAAAAAACAGTTCCAGATGTCTTTTTAATGGCATTTTGTGAGAAATACCATAGAAACGGCTGATTATTCAACTGATATACTGAATAAGTGCTAGCACGCTAAGTCTCACCTCGACGCGTTGAGAGTTCACCCTCTTTCCTTTCTTATTCCAGGTTACTCTTGGCTTGGGGTCACCTGTGGCTTGGCATACGAAGGATACAACACCTCCGGAGACGCCGATCATATCGACAGGTACTTTTGTGAACCTGGGTGGAGCTAAAGAAAAAGAAAACAAGCAAAATAAGATTAGCATTCAGCTTTTTTTGTCATCAAAACACCTTACATTTTGCCAGACTGGTCAAAAGAGGCAAGAAAGAGATAATGACAGCTGATATCCCTTCCCGTTCATACTGGAAATGCACGGTCAAGTTGAGCGCATTGCATTGTGGGAAAATAGCCTCATACAGTGTTTTTTACACATTTTAGCATGCCATACAAAAATTTTTCGTACTGCAGAAATAGTAAGAGTAGCATGCTGCTAGCAAGCTATAGTGAACAGTGAGTGCAGGTAAAGTGAAGCTAACCCAGTTCGTCACAAGGCCACTGTAACAACAAATCAATTACATTAAATTACCGAGTGATTGAACACAAACCCACACACGCAATTTAACAGTTACTCGCAGTGCATTCGAATGTAAAATAGCGAGCGAAGGGACTATGACTGGAGTGGGCTCGTGACCCGTTCTGCTACGATAGAGATGTCGACAAGAAACGGGGGCCGTCATGCATCAGTGCAAATGGAAAGTGGCTGTTTTTCAGCACGCCGGTAATTACACCATAGACAATGTGCACGTCAACGCCACTCTGAATCATTTATTGCCCAATGAATAATAAAGTACCTGCGACTCTGCCTTGATTTGAAAGCTCCTTGTCAGGTGAAGCATCCAAAACCCTACGCACGTTTCCCGTAAGACATGCCAGCTGTAAGCTAACGACATGCAGGCCTGACAGTCGCTGACGATAGATCGTGACCTAGCTATTCCAGCTTCTGGAGCGCAGGAGCTGTCATCTTTTCTACCATTACTGCTTGTTCTTTGTGGATTACGCTAGTTTTAGAAAATAAAAAAATTGTCATTTTTTTCCCCTCAGAACCCAGCACAGTTTGTTCTTGGCTCGTCAAATTATGATGCTGTCTACCTCGTCTCTTCCCGGCGGGCCTCCGCTGGCGCTCACTTTTTTCTCTCTGCAGGGCAGTAGGTCAAGCTTGACACAACAAGACATGAGAAGAGGCTCTCTAGGGGGAACATGCTAAAATCCAGAAAGCGCACAGATATGAGGAGATGATCAAACGGTCAGGCACGCACGGCAAATTAATTATTTAACCGCCCATGGGCAGGCAGGCGAGCCCCTGAATCTCGGGTGCGGATAAACACACTTGAAGCGAAGTTCCAGAGAGTGGAGAGGATGAAGCCTGAGGACTTTCTGTTTCATTCTGAAGTCATGAAAGCTCAACTTGCACAACACAAACGCACAGAGGTTCGCCACTTTTGTTAGTATTGGTCATAATTGTTTGGTAGAGCAAAAACAAGACATCAAAAACATCATGGTTCTTTGAACCGTGAGCCCGGTGGAACTGCTCCGGTGAGATTTTAAGCATGTCCTTCTGCAGGAGACAGACACTGACATTTCAGGCAAAAAAAAATAAAAAATCATTCATTTTTACTTTCTCTATATAGAGGGAACAATATTCAGGATTTTCTGCATTATGAAATTTTTTCATAATATTGTCATTGATTTTGGGGTAATTAAAAGTGACTCCTATATTGGGATATTATAAAAATAATATAAAAATATTATAAAAAATAATAAAAAGTAAAATGTTATATAATAACATAGAAATTATAAAATAAAATATAAATAAAATAAACAATTACATTTGTAAAAACTGTATAAATTAAAAAATTTTAAATAACATTTCTGAAATAATGAATAAAATATTTAACTAAATAAAAATGTTTATCAAGAGGAACTTTGTTGGCTTGAGAAATCCTGGCAAACATTTTTTAAAAGTATTTTTAAAAGCTTGAAGTTTGAAGGTTTTAAGTTTGAAATAGTTGATTTCTAAATATTATTTTAAACATTATAAAAATATTTTTATTAAATAATGAATAAAATATTTAACGTTAACAAAAATGCAAAACTACAAAAATAAATGCGCAGTGACAAATTAATTATAAAATGGGCTAGAGCATGTTGTTAAGGACATGCATTTTTTCTTGTAGGTCTGTATGAATAATCATGAAAATAATCTTTGCGATTTAACTATCTAAAAAGATAGATCTAAATTGCTCACTATTTCAGCCCTGGCTTTGCTTCTTTACACTGTAAACACTAAACTGAATGACCAAAACAAGCAAAAGGCCAAAAGTCCTCGATCAGTCCTTTAAACAAGAGTAAAAGAGTTGAGAATAGGGATGCACCGAATGTTCAATTATTATGAATAAGCGAAAAGACCGAATAAATTGTACCGAACAATGATATGACGCGATCAAATAGCAACCAGTGCAGAGTGAGAGGCGCGCACTCTTTATTATGCAGCACACACGTCAGCAGTGTGGAAGCGTTTAAACTGTCGGAGAAAGACACAAAAATCATTACAAGCAGCGACAGCGAGAGACTGTTTAGTGCTGCATCGCATGTCTTCGATGAGAAGAAGAAGGGGTGGTTGTTTTTAGTTACTGTATGATGATTGAAATCGTGAAATTAGTAAATAAACTGCAGAACGTTACGTTTTCTAATACACACGCGCATTGCATGTATTCTGACAGCGCTGCACGAGCTCGCAGCAGATCTGCTTGTTAACCAGGGTTCAAAGCCCGAGGAAAATCTGCGCTGATACAGTCTTTACAAGGCAATTTACAATGAATTTTTACAAGGCATGTGACAATGCGATACATACGACGTATTCGTAATGAGACTCATTTATAAATCTGTTGTCAACAAAAAGAAGCATTGAGGTCTTCCTGCGTGTTTACGCCAAAATAAAAGTTGAGAAAAAGAACTCTTATCAACATTCATAAATGTTAGTATTGTCATTTTACTGTTGTTCTGTAAAATAAAACAAAGTAAGACAATAATAATGATAATAATCATTACAACAGCTCTGTTTTAATACATTTATTATAACAGTCACACATAGGATCTGAAATATTTTCTAATGTTTTAAAAGAAGTCTCTTCTCAGCAAGGCTGCTTTTAATTGAACAGTAAAAAAAGAAAAAATACATGCCTGATTCAAGAAGGGGGTCTGATGGCCAAAAATTATTATTTTACTAACTTATTAATTTTAAGTTAAATTGTGCTTTATTGGTATAGAGTCTGCTAGAATGGTAAAAATGTTCAGTGTTAAATATTTTTAAATTGTTGTTTTGTAATTGATTTTTTTCTTTGAAAAGCAAGACAAAACAGTAAAAAGTACATTTTGTCTTTTTAATTCATGCAATGGTGGGGAAAAAAAATTGGCAAAATACATGGGGGAAAAAAACTCTGTGTTCGGTATTCGGCCTTCGGCCCAGTGTTTCATTTTGTTCGGCTTCGGCCAAGAATTTTTATTTCGGTGCATCGTTAGTTGAGAAGGGCTAAAATGTGAAGGGTGACAGATGTACTTCAAGACGAAGGACCAAAAAACTAGCCGTGAGTGATGTATTGAGGTTATAGTTCACATTATTATTACATTAATAAAAAAACAAACAAAAAAAGAACAATAACAGGTAACTTTAATACATATATTTTAATAATAGGCCTAATATATTTTGCACATTTCATTACGATTATTGGTTAAAAATCTAATTATATATTCAATAATAAATAATATAATATTTTTTTTATTAAATATAAAATAAGAATAATAAAATAATTAAATGTATATTGTAATACATGAGGTAACTTTTTACACCTTAAATCTGTACTTTTTCCTAAAAAAATTATATGATATTAATCTTATTATATTAATTATAATGTTATTGTTTGTGTGTGTGTGTGTGTGTATATTTATAATGTAAACATATATAAATAAAATAATAAATTATAATAAAATAATACAATAGCAGGTAACTTGTACGAAAAAAGTATAGATTTTTAATATCAACCACATTTTATTATTTTTATTATTGCATTTTAATATTTTTCTTAGAAGAGGTATACATTTGAAATATATTTATTTATTATATTTTATGTTCCTGTATTTATGTATATTTTAAATATGAATAAAAATTACATATATATATATATATATACACGTTATTTATTTTCATTTTATGGCAGATATGTTATCAATAATTTATCGTAACAGAGGAAAAACATACTTGTCTTTCTCCCTATGCATTATTTTTTTTCAGACTGTTTTTCTTGCATTAACAGCTGCAAGACTTTCGAAACGCTTCCAATAACATGTTTGTGCCGCCTCCATATGGAGAGACTCCTATAATAGGAGGCTCGGGTCACAGACGCAGTTAGATGACTAACACCATAATCAACGGAGAAAAAAACCTTTTGGGGCTTATATTAAAAAACGAAAAAAAAAAGAGCTCCATTAGGCTGAGAATTAGAAAAATGCAGGTGCAAAAAATGGCAGCCCATCAGTGGCATTTAGGAAAGCGGAGAGAGCATCACTTGTCGCCCATCTTGTTTTAAGATAGCCACCTTTCAACTGCTGATTGAGGCTTATCTGAAAGGGTAAAGAGGAACATTTTGGTATCACACGCACTTTAGTTCTGAAAGAGCCAATTATGGGGGATCCCGGTGCTGGATAATGTCCTGAGTGGCTGTAATTTGAGAAATCAATGTAAGCAACATGTTCAGGTAAACATCTGCGACGTTTACGCTCTAAACCAGCATCTACATACAAGTGAAGCACCTGCTCTTATGATAACAAGACCGGGGTTTCGAACACAATCATATACGCCAACAAGGTCCTTGCGATCATCTTCATATTTACAGCAACCTCAAAAAGACAAAAGAGGGTCTTGTGGAGGGATTGATCACCCAGAACATGAACATTTGCTATTAATTTACTCCCCCTCAGGCCATTCAGGATGACTCTCTCAGATTTTTTCCTGAAAAAAGTATAAATATAAATAAAAAATGATTCTAGGTTTAAACAATAATAAAATTCATTATTATCAGCTCATCAGAATTCAAATGTCTGTGCATCTGTTCACATTTTAAGAGAAGCATAAGGACTTAAATGAACGTAAAAGATACTCCAACTATCACACA